GCGACGATATCACTTCGATATCGTCTCGACAAGTTTTCTTCTTGTTTAAACAAGACCATGCCCCGTTGCGTATTATCAGAATTTTCGGACGTCTCGCGTAATTAACGATTCGACGATTTCTAATCGAAAGTGTCATCGAGCGTTATTCGGAGTGACGATTTATAAGGTTCGAGGAAACGAGGCGCGTACGATTCGTGCCGATAATTTTCCTAACGATCGACTCGAGTGGAAAAAGCACGGGCGCGAGGCCTACTACGTCGTGCTTGAGAAGAAAACGAGCGTCGACGGGGAAATTCCGTTTACGATTCGTAGGAGAGAAGTCGAGAAAACGACGAGGGCGACGACGAGAGCGACGACGACGGGTTTCGGTGAAACGGCAAAGAGCCTCGCCACCGAGTCTCAGAGAGTTTTTGGCAGGGTGCCAGAAGCTTTTGCCAAAAGAAAAAGAGTTCTCGGAAGAAGGAGGATCCTCTCGCGTGCTTCGTCGAGGGCTTCGCCGACTCCCGGACAATCCGACAACGGATCGTGCCAAATCGCGCGTACACAATTGATGACGCGTCCCTCTATTTTTAAGTAGCCGAGCCAGCTGATCGCCGCTGGTCACGTTTCTACGTTTTCCGATCGCGTTAGATCGGGTTAGATCCTTCGTCGCGGTCCGGTTGGAAATCGTCGGACGATCGAGAGAGAACATCTGCGGTCGACGATTTCCGACGACTAAGCGAACAGCTACGATTATATACGGGCACAATATTAACGAGAACAGTTAGCTCGTGGCAGGTCGACGACCCGCGCCTACGAATTATAAGGGGAAAGGCTGAAACGCTGGCTTTTGCCGCGCAGGGAATATAAATTCTGTTCTGGCGTCGATCCGCGATCGAGGGAGTAACGTTTCGACGATGAAAAATATCGAAGGGGCGAAACCTTCGTTTCTCAAAACGGTTCTCTACGTTCGGGTGAATTCCGATTCCGAGAACGATCATCGTTTGCCGAAACGTGGATGACTTTTTTACGACGCATAACGATGTTGGTCGTTCGAAATCGTTTATCTCTACAATTTGTATATATAGATAAACGTAAACGGAGTAATCTATTATGAAATTGTCTATTATGATCGTTCGATTCGAATATCGAAATTGGGGAGAATAGACGGAATTCAACTGTCCGCCTCTATATTATCGCCTCTAATTACGACTCCGAATTTCCTTCGTCCAGCTTAGGTATCGTCGTTGTTCCGATTCTTGGGGAAGCTTTTGCCCTTTTAGATATTATCGTCGGTCGATAAATCTGTCTGTTCGCCATTAGCGAGACGTCGAAGGAATTGTTTGCCTCCTAAAGTAACCGTTCCGTGAGAACTTCCTGTAGTTGGTCGGTGAAATGACCAGTCGTCGGGAAGAGAATACGGTGTAAGCGGGAGAGTCCCCTTTTAGCGAACAGTCGGAAAAAGCCCACTATGCGAGCTCTTTAACTTTAGATTATTATTAGCGAGAGAATTTGAACGTATCTACCGCGCTATAATAATAATCGCTAAAGCGGTTACTATCGCTCTTCGAAGAGAAACATGCCCCGTGTCGCATAGCCAGCTCGCTTCTCGGGATGATGCAACTCGGACACCTGATTTCGAGGATCGTTTCCGAGTGACCCGGTTTTTCTACGTACCGTGCCACGACCAACAAACGCGATTATGTCATTAACGCGAATAAACTTTACCTCTTGCGTAGCTAATTTCCAAACGATCCGTTCGATTAATCTTCCCATTAACGACGTTACTCGGACACTTTAGAAACGTTCCGTTAAGCCGAACGATTAAACGTCGATAAAAATTCTCTCTCTCTCCGATAGAAATTTCTACGTAATCGGATAACCGACGATTCGAAATGTTACCATCGAGTGATTTCTTCTCGATCGAACGTATCGTATTTTCCCTTCTAATCGTTTTTATAATCGTTTTTCTAATCGTTTTTCTAATCGTTGTTACAGACTCATATTCTGTTGATGGATGCGTTCCTCCAGAACAACAGGCTGGATCATGTCTCGAGGGTGATGGCCTCGCATCCCTCGTACTTGGAACACTTCCTTCGTACTCAACATTTCATCCTGAGGGGCGACGGACCGCTTCCGTACGACTATAGGCATCTGATCGCCATCATGGTGAGTGCACGGCCAATTTATTCCGTATATTCCGTAATTCCGAAAACGCGTCTCCTCGAAAAATTCTCTTCGCGATAGTAATTTTCCGTAATTTCCAAGCTGACTCGTTCCTTTCGTCTAGTTGTTCCTCGAGCTGCGAGCGCGTCGCTCGAGGGTCGTTGGGCCAAAGATTATCGGGAAACCGAGCAAGTGCAGCGGGTTTCGTAACGAAAGCGACGTTATTCGTAGCGTGAAATCGTCCGATGGTGGGAAATAATTATCGGGAAATTAAACGAGATCGATATCTTCGCGATTAGGTTAGGTTAGGTTAGGTCGCGAATAGCTGAAATTCTAAGACTAACGCGAATATTTCGTAAGCGTTTTCTATTCCCGTTGAACGCGTTGGCTGGACAGAAATTGTACCGTTTCTTTTAGGAATCGCGTTCTCCTCGGATAGGAGAGAAAGCTTAAGCAGAAGCTCGCGACCGGATCGTGACACGAGGCACGCGCACGAGCCGCGACGTTTACCGGCAGAAAAGCTGTTTTTCAGATATCTTATCGTTTTATCGAAGCCCTGCCTCTTCCTCCCCTCCCTCTTCGAAAAGCCCGCGCGATCCTTCCGAGACTTGTAACTCGCGTCGTCTTTGTCTCGTACGTGTCGCGATCTCTCTCTCTCTCTCTCTCTCGCACGGATTCTCTCTCACGGGTCTAATCGCAATCCGAACTTCGATTTTAGCAGGCCTTCTCTCTTCCCTCTTATCGCTTATCGCGACTCTCGAGTCGATCGATCCGTGGCCTCGTATGGTAAACACGTGTCTTGTTTACGCGCTTCGTCATCTCCCCTCCACTCGACCGTTCCCCTGCCTCCTCCTTCCTCCTACTTCCTTCTGCTTCGTGCCGACATTTCAATGTTCGATCTATGCGAGTAACGTAATTCTAACGCGCTCGAAACGAGCTATTAAGTCCTATCGAGACTCGATCTTTTCCCATCCTTTATATCCCCTTTCCGTATCTCGGTTAGAGCGCTTTCCGAGTATAATAAATCAGTCGTTTTTCGCGTTAGTCCGCTGAAAGACTACATATATGACTCGAGGGTTTCGGTGAAAGGAACGCGTTTGGTTTGTTTACAGGCCGCGGGTAGACACCAGTGCAGCTACCTGATAAACCTGCAGAAGGGAGAGTTCCTTCTTCAAGGTGGCGATCCGTCGTGGCTTCGAGGCTTGAAATCGATCCCAGGAAAATTGCAAGATCTCTATGAGATCAACAAGATCTTGGCCCATAGGCCGTGGCTGCTGAACAAAACGCACATAGAGGTTGGTTTTCCAGTGGCGAGCGAGAATCGTCTAAAGTCTAAACTAGTCTAAAGTCTAAGAAACGAGTAAGAGGAAGAACGGTTGGATAATCTTTTGTTCGCAGAAGCTGACTAAAGGCGCGGACAGTTGGTCCTTGGCCGAAGTCGTTCACGCGATCGTTCTTCTAGCCCACTTTCACTCCCTCTCGTCTTTCGTCTTCTCCTGCGGGATCAACGAGGAATTGGACAACGTAGCCGGCCACAATTACAAACAGAATATCCAGGATAATAGCAATAACGTATCAACTGCCAAAGAGAAAATTTCCAGTAGTCCCAAGAAGATTCCGAACGGCGATGGCAAGACTGGTAAGCTTCGACGCTCGTTTCGTTAACCTGGCCAATCTGTCTCGCGTAAGTTTTCCCACGATCTCCCCGAATTCGCGTTGACGAGATATCGTTGGAATTTGCGCAGAAAACATGCCGTCGCCGCCGTCCTCGCCGAGTATAGTCGGCGAACAGGAAGTCGGCGTGGAAGCCCTGATGGAGCGCATGAAACGTTTGTCGGAAAAGTCCGAGTCGTATCAGATCACGCAAGAGGAATTGTCCAAGAGATTCGAGACGGTCGAAACGCAGTCGGCGGAACTGGCAGCCGCGCCGCAGAGGAGTAGCTCGGTTCTCGATTCCGACATTGGTCATTTCATCGAGGATCCCACCTTCATCTACCAAGACTTCGCCAAGGTACCTGCTCGTTCGTTGCTCGTTCGTTGCTCGTTCGTTGCTCGTTCGTTGCTCGTTCGTTGCTCGACGGCTTTCTCCGACAAATCTATACTACTACGATAGCCTAGATATGCCTATGACTTTCGACCTTCTACACATTTTTACTCGAATTGCTCGACGCCCGTTTCTCTATCGAAGGAAATTCGAAAGCGTATTCCAAGGCGACGCGATTACCGTTTTGCACCGCGACACCCATGAATATTTACGATCGGATGACACGTGTCCGCTCAGCCGGACATCGGAAGAAAACGCTTCGCGAACACCGTTTCGTTCGAACTCTTTGGGAATTCCTCGTCCTCCGATCCCTCTGCTATACCAATTTACTAATTTCATGTTTTTTCTCGTCGTTTTTTCAGCGAGGTCAACTGAACGACATACCGACTTTTCGCGTACAAGACTATTCTTGGGACGATCACGGTTACTCGTTGGTCAATCGTCTGTACAACGACGTCGGTAATCTGCTGGACGATAAATTCAAGACAGCTTACAATCTTACGTATTACACGATGGGCACGCACAGCAAAGTCGACACGTCCCGTTTCAGACGAGCCATCTGGAATTACATTCAATGTATGTTCGGCATCAGACACGACGATTACGATTACAACGAGGTGAATCAGCTGCTCGAACGGAGCCTCAAGACTTTTATAAAGAGCGCCGTCTGTTATCCGGAACGTGTCACCAAAAGGGATTACGATCGCGTCATGAGGGAGTTCAAGCACAGCGAAAAGGTTGGTACGCCCACTCGTTGGCGATTTTTCGCTTTTCGATTTTCAATTTCGACGATTTACCGATTTGCCAGAATCGATCGGAATCGAGGAATCTCGAAGTTTCCGAATTTCTTTCTTTTTAAATTCCCCAACTTTCGACCGTTCATCAAATCTTTTATAATTTCGAAACTTTTCTTTCCTAGTCCGTTGATAGCGGTTTTCTCGCCCTAGACGTCGATTTTTCACCGGATTACGTAATCGACAAGCTGTTACGTACGAATTCGTTTGCATACAATTCCTTTATGTTTCCTTTTCTTTCGACACGTTTCCTCGTTTCACGTGTAACAGCGGTCCGTTGTTTGATCTAGGAATTTTAAAACGTAACGCCGCGACGACGATCATCTGGCCTGTTACAGTTTAGCTCTCGTGCTCTAGTTAAAGTATAAAATCGAGTTTCTTTTTCAGAAAAATATATCTCTTTTTCAGAAGAATCTGTTTCGATTGTTTTCAGGTTCACGTAAACTTGATGATCTTGGAGGCCCGAATGCAGGCGGAGCTGTTGTACGCGCTCCGAGCCGTCATGCGATATATGACCTAAGCGAAGCCAATCGTCCTCGCTTCTTCGTCTACTTGCTGTCTGTCAGTTTATCGTCGATTTATTTTATCGTGTAGCTGGCGCGCCACGAGTTCGCGAGTCGTCATCGCCGTCGCCGTTTCGCGCACGATCGAGGCACAGAGAAGAAACGAGCGAACGCGACACCGATTCTCACGCAGCATATAATTAAATAACCGTATCCTCGCACGGTGACACGCGTACACATATTCGATCGATCCGATCCATCTGTCCCTAACGTACTACGCATACTACGAGAGAAGTTCGCGTTCCTGTCGATACGCGTAGCGCGTCAACGAAGAACAACTCCGCTAAAACGATCGAACAGAAAGAAGCGATTCGAAAAAAGGGAAGAAGAGGAACAAGTTTTTTTTATCATCGAACACGCGGAGAATTTGGTGAATTTTTGAAAGCGTTTACCTTTTTCATTTTGTATACCCCTGGCGGGGAAGAGAAGACAAGCGCGCG